CCAACTGGAGCATTTGACTAGTTTCAGAGTCATACTGTAGCCATTTCCAGAAGTCCTAGAATTGCAATTTCAAAATAGAATGTAAAAGATGATCTAAAAATTCTCTCAGGTCAAAGGTATTCTAGAAATAGTAATACTCTCAATAAGCTTATATTTCTCCCAGGTTTCTTACTTGCATAGTTGATAAGAACAAGTGTTTTTTATGTGTGTGTATGGATTACTGATTTAATGTTTCAGTGGCTTTTAATGTTTCCAAGCCACCCAGAGTCATCTCTAGGCAGGCAAGATGGGTGGTGTACAAGTGTAACAAATAAGTAAGTTTAAGTAAGTAAATAATAAACAAACAAACAAATAACATGGATGAATTGCTCCGCATCAAAGCAATTACACCAAAGAAACAAATATGCATTTATATATTGGAAGACAATATGAAGGATTATGAGAATGCAGCAGAGTAATTTCTCATTTTAAAGCAGTATCTGAAATAGAGTGTTGGATGCCAGAAAGATTTTTGTGCAGCAATTTTGCTTTTGTTTTATTATCAAGTTATCAGCTTCTCTTGATTTTTTTAAATAAAAAAGAACAAGTAATAGCTCATACAAGGGATAAAGAATATAATTTTAATACATAAGAACAAATTTAATTTCAAATGCTTAAATTAATTAGGCATACACATCAAATAGATTTAATGAATACTTTTAAAGCTGTGAAAACTATGAGTTTTTCCAAAGTTTCTTAAAACCGAATTCAGCTGGTTCGCACCAGTTCAGGTGAACTGGTTGTTAAATTACCCACTCACCCACCCCACTATCAAAGTGGATCCTGGGTGCTGTGCTGCACTGCAATGGAGGAATGGGCAACAGAGAGGCCAGCATGAGGGAAAGAGAAGGCTGCTTTCACTTTCTTCTCCCTGCTCCTCCTCTTTCCATGCAGTGCAGTGCAGCCCCCAGGATCCACTTTGATAGCAGGGGGGGGATTTAACAACCACTTCGCCCAGGGTCAGGTTGGCCATCATGAACCAGTTGTTAAATAATTTGAATCCCAAATTTTATAAAACACCAGATTAACCAAACAGTATATGTTCTTTAAATTGTTCTTTAAATTTAAATTTATATCCTTTTTCTTTTAATGATACAGAACTTTCTGCAATGGTTTATCCAATTGCAGTCACTTAGCTTCAACTTCTTCTTAAGCTGCTGTTTAAATAATAACATTGTTCTATCTTACATTGTTAATTATAAGGATGCCTGAGATAATGTATATGAAATATTTCAGAATGTTTTGAAGAAGTACCTCTATACCAGGAGACCATGAATTGCAGTCCCACTTTAGTTGTGAAAGTTGGCTGGCTGACTTTGGGCCAGTTACACTCTCTTAGCGCAACTCTTCTCACAGAGTTGTTTGTTGTTGGGAAAATAGGATAAAAATAAAATATTATTATGTAGGCCAAGCAAAGATAACCAGGACAGGTGAAAAAGAGTTTTGAAATATCAACTATGGAATGCAGAAAATGTGTTACAGATTCCAATGAAAACATGATAAAAATGGGCCAAGGAATTTTAAAGGTGGTAATGTGAATATAAATGTGAATATAAATGTGAGAAAGCCTTTGAATATAAAAATGCAAGACTGATACTTTCTCCTTTTTTTAATACCCCAAATTCCATCTTGTTCATGTTGCCTGCAATGCAGTCTCATAATCAAAGCTTTCATAAGTGAACATCAAACTATACCAATACAATGCTATAAAAGAATATGAGTTATGACCTTGCAATGATAGGACATTTTCAAAGTTGAGCTGCTTGTTGCTATGGAAGCAAAGAACGATATTCTTAGGTCTTCTGCTATTTTCTCTAATATATACTGGAAACCTGTGTGTCATTTCATCTTAACATTTCTTAGATCTATTCCATTCTTTTGAACATCCCTTTTCAGGCACACAATAGTTTTGGCAACCTTTCAGTAGACCATTTCATAAGAGATGATCTAATGATGGTCTCTTTTCCTAATGGTTAAAAAAAGAGATTTAAAAGGTGAGTGGCATATAGGAAGCCTGTGGTTTAATCATGGCAAGAATTTACCCAAATGATCTTGTTGTTTTCAATTTGAACTGCAAGAACAGCAACCGCTGCTGCAGCTCCCTGAAAAGTACAAAGTTTTACCTTTATGCTTCCTAAGAATACATATATAAAATATCTGCCAGAAGATGGGAAAGCTTCTTTTCAGATTAAAATGTGAGACTATAAGCATAGGGTTTTCTTTACCAAGCAGAATACCAGAGTAGTCAACAGTGCCGATAATTTTCATTAAGGTCAATCCACTGTTGATTTTAGCTACTGTTCCCAGGCAGGAGACAAACTTTTCTCTAAATTCTGGATTGTTTTGCTTCCATAAAGCTATTATCTCCAATCCTGCTGCTTCTGAGAAAAAGCAGCCATTTGAAAGTAGGGAATTAGAAAACAGTCTTAGCCTCTGCTACATGACAGGCCTATCTAGTCCATGGCTCATCATAATAGGCAGTTCCTCTCGAGGGTTTCAATTGCCTTTCGTAGACCTGGTTGGAAATGCTGTAAATTAAAACTGGAACATTTTAAAAATTGTTGAGTATTTTGCATCATCAAATGTTATTAGCACTATCTAATATTATGTTACCTGAAATAAGATATAAATATTGTATAAATTTTACTTAGGAATAATTCCCATTGGAACTTGCTTCTTAACAGAAGTACACAGATTCATTTAGTCTGACTGTGGCTCTATTGTGTCCTGCCTGGGTAAATATATAACAAAACTTTTAACTAACTTCGATGTCCCTGTAAATGTTGAAGTAAGGAGGTTTAGCACATCTCCAGGACATTTGCATACACATGGGATTGGCAACAGAGGAGAAGCACTTTTACAAATATTTTGTATTGTCCTACTAAAATTGAGATGGGTAGTGCTTTAAAACAATTATTAGTAATGTGATGAAACAAATGGATTTTAAAATTCTGAGTTCTGTTACAGATTTGAAGTCAACATAGTACAGTTTCTTTCATAAATATTTTATAGCTAAAGGCTTTAATAATTTCCAAACAGATAATTTTTACCAGTGCATACCCTTATCTTACATGTTGGATGGGCAGAAGACTGGATAGAAACTCTTGTATCATCTGAATGATCAACATTTATAGGACATAAGTCAGTAGCTAGACCCAATGTAGTCAAATCCGGTCATAGAGTAGCATTTATTTATTTACAGGACTCATGTGCTTGCCCAGCTCATACAATGACTCTAGGTAACTTAAAACAATCCATAAGATGTAGTTAAAAAGAAAGATACCCTCCCTCATCAGTGGCAGACTAAATGTGTCAGCAGATCAACCCTATCCTACTACAATGACTGGAGGAAGAGCCGGGTCTTTGAAAGTCCTCCAGAAAGCTAAAAGGGAAGAGATCCCTCAGATCTCAAGTGGGAGGGTATTCCAAGGGGCTGGGGCAGCTTCTGAGAAGGTGCAGTTCCAAGGTCCCATCAAGTGGCAATATTTAAGGGAGGTGATCTGGATTGTGCCCACCTACCTAACTTAATAGAACAGGCAAATACCCTCAAGGAGACGTGGTCCCACAAATAACCTTTTCCTATGTCATGTAGGACTTTAAAAGCGATAACCAGAAAGCAACTAGAAGTCAGTGCATCTCATGCAGCGGTGGTGTTATTTGGATGAACTGTGGGACTGCATGCTGCTGAATTCTGGATCAATTGGTCCAAAGATAATCAGATTATATTTGGGTTTTTATGTGCTTTTGTGAGATATCCAAAGTAATAATGTTGGAGACTGATTTTTTTTTTTTTTGTAGGATTCAACCTGGGATGGTCACCGGGATCGGAGGTTTAATCTTCTGAGCTGATTTTTTAAATTCCATTCCAAAGGTCCTAGAAGCAAAAGAAAGCTGAGGATATGATTATGGTTGTACATGATAAGCTTAGTGAAGGCCCAAACACAGCTTGTCAGGCTGTAGGAAAAGGTAGAATGGCCACAATGAGACATGGCGACAAAAAGAAAAGAGATTATAAAAACCATGATTGCAAATATTTGTCATTATCTTGAAGTTATCATGATGTCCTATTTCTCAAGAATGTTGCTTTGATTCAGTGGTTAAAAAAACACAGTTTACAGAGTTGAAACAATAATGAAGAACTAGTCGTATCTATCACTTACCCAATTAGCCATGAATGAACATAAGTGCAGAAATTCACCAAATCCAAGAGAATATTTTTCTCATAATACTTTTGTATGCTGTTTATCTGAAGTATTTAAAGCAATGCATATAATAAGATTTATTTTAAACAAATGTTATGTTAGCTTCTTTTAGAACCTACAACTTGTCCAGACACATACACATACTCTCAACTTTCTTTCACCCTTTTTATTCTGTCCTCTCTGAAGAATTGATTTTTTTTAAAAAAACAATTTTATATTTCCATAGTTTAATTTCAGTTAGAGAGGGAATATAATGAAAGTCCTTTTATACAAAGTTGCTCTTTTTCAGCTGGTGTCCATAATGGTGACCTCTGTTTGAAAGATGAAAATAATGTGTTTATTCCGGGTTGGATAAAATAACTGTGGTGGTTTTCTCCTACTTTTGGGTGCATATGGTATTTATAGTTTACTGTATAAACTTTTTTTAGAATGAGGCACTAAATCACAGCCTGATTCTTAGTGTCCTATGTTTATCATCAACTTCACTTTCCCATTTTGGAACAGTAATACCAAGTAGAGAAAGCTGCATAGTTCACTGTAATTTGCTAATTTGTTTTTTTTTTTAAATAGGGATATGAAAATCTGCTTGATGAGCAAAGTATCCCACTAATGCCCCTTGGGAAATATTATCTTCTCTTTGTTTTTCAGAATGAGTTAAATAAATGCAATGCAGTTGAACGATAACTCCCAGAATTCTCAGGCCCACAGGTGGCACAGCACCAGCTTTCCTTTCCTTTTCTGGATCTCTCCAGCACCGTCTCAAGTTTGATCAATCCATTCTGCACGCTTTGGTGCTTTACACGTATGAATGTCTATGGTGTCTTCACATTCTTTGCAGCGAACAGCGCAACACCAATGAAATTTGCACTCGCATTTAGTGACTCGAGTTACTTGAGTAGTATCATAACCTCTGCCACAACACATGACTTCACATCCATCAGTGCCACGTGATACCTTGTTGCACACACGACCAGCAGTTCCTAGTGAACCTGTAAGAGAAGAAGAATAGTTTTATTCAAGATTGCATGACATTGGATCTTGGGAAATATAGAGTTGAAGTCACTTTTTGAAATGAATTATGGAATTCATTTTTTATAAAATTTATAAGAGCAAATTCTAGAAATTCACTTAAATTAGTAGTAATACAATTAGGTTTGCTGAAAATCTGGCCTGAATAATTTCTAACTATTTCCAACTATAATTTCTAACAACAATTATACATACATAAGTGAATGTATAATTTTCTGCCTCAAGCAAGGTGTGAAATAAATATTGGTGAGTGATATTGGTAACATGATCATGTAGCAGGAGCAACAGAGTGATATCAATTCTCTTTCAACCACATTTTGAAAGTATAATTTTCCTCATAATTCAACGTTAACTGGAAGTAGAATTGGAATTTTTGGATATACACACTTCAGATACTAATTTCCATGGGGATTTTCATGTAGGTAGGAATTCTGAAGACAAGAAATCCTTCCTACTAGGTTAGTGTCCAAGTTATCCTTTCCTAAATGGGATAATCTCCAGATGTATGAATCTTAATTTCAAGAATTCCCCTACCATCATGATCAATGTTGAAAATTTGAGCAGTCGAAATCTGCCCTTCTGAAAGGTAAGTGCTAAAACTGGGGAAGACCAGTGTAAGCAAAATTACAAAATATTGTTTTACCTGCAGATTTATCCATCACACAATAATCAGGAGAGTTCTCAAAATATACAAGGTCAGTTTTTGTGGGCTTCCGGAAGTTCTTATTGGCCACAGTAAATCCAGAGCCATCTTGGTTCATAGTCACTTGAATGGCACCATTGTATTTTTTCCGAAGATAATCTCCCGTTTTGCGGAAATCTGACATTGCCAGCCAGCAAGTCCTTAAGGTGCAGGAACCACTGACACCATGACATTTGCATTCTAGTTTCAGGAAACGCTTCACAGCCTGAAATAGAAGGTTTAGTAGCAGATCTAAGGACAAAAATTGCTTTGATAATACTCAGAAAGGCTACTTCTGTTTCTGAGAGATACTGCTTTATTTCTTAGATTGGATATTTCTACTTAGATTTTGCTAGTTACAATAATGACCTTCCAGACCTATGAACAATACTTAAACCTGCTCTTTTGTGATATATCTTTATCTGGTCAATTAGAGCTGAGAATCATTCTAATTGAAAAAAAATAGAAGTGGCCTTTGGTAACCTCACAAAAATGCTTCTGCTGGAAGGTGTATCTATCAGTATTTGAATAAAAAGGGATTTTTTTAAAAAAATATAAGTGTCAGTATAAAATAAATACCTTATGTTGGTTTTACTGAAGTAGCAGCTATTGGTGCTACAAACTTCCTATTAGGTGTGTGCGTGTGTGAGAGACAGAGGGGGGAGATTAGAAAGCTGAATTATTGCCCTGAGCTGCCTCTTTCTCTTTCCCTGTTTTATTTATATTCTATTTAGACATTGATAGTACCAGACCTTTAATCAAAGATCTGAACATTTAATCAAAGTGAACTGCACATTCCTTGAATGTGGCTAAGAACCTGAGGAGGGTTCAAAGTCCCAGTTCCTAACAAATTCCTAGGCTTTTGTGAAGTTGATGCTGTTATTTCTTGTTGTCTAAAAAGTTTTCAGATTGATTATAAAATGCTACAAAGCATAAGATAATAATACGAATGGTTATATAACCCTAAGATTTCATTGGACAATTGGTTTATCTCTCAAAATATATTACCGTATTATCTCCACATTGTGCTAGTTGGTTTTAGCAGTAAAACTATTTTGGGGGCTTTCTTTTGTTTCGTTTTCACCTTTCCCACAAATTTCAGTGTTCCAATTATTCATTTTAAACCCATCAAATTAAAAAAAGTTCAGCCCAATCCATCTGCCAATGATGCTGACATGCCATCAGTCAAACCTTTTGTAGCTTTTAGGTGCCCCCCTCTTTCTATATTCATTCATTCATTCATTCATTCATTCATTCATTCATTCATTCATTCAT